TAAAACCCAAATTATATATTTCAAAACAAAAAACCCTAACTTTATATTTAGAAATCTACTCTAATTTTCAATTTCGAAATCCCTAAACCCTAAATTCCTATTTTGAAATCCTAAACTATCCAACAAGTTTAATAATTTTACTCCAAGATCAGGTCACAGAAGAAAAAAAACGGAGAAGAATATGCAGAAAAACCTACCGTTTCTAATGGGAGATCGTTGTCCGACGATGACGAAGATGAACCGTCCTGAGACGCAGACGAAGACGAAACAGAAGGCACATGTGTTCTTGGATCCATGGGTGTTCAATTTTTTATAGAAATCGCAAGAGAGATACCGAAATTATAAGGAAAATCGCCTCAGTTTCTGAAAATTCTGAGAAAGAAATAGCGGTTCTTGAAATCGCATAAGAGAGAGAGAGAGTTTTCCAAATAATACAAGAGAAAGAGTTCAACAGAAGAGAGAGAGAGGGGGGTTTCTTTTTAAAAAAAACTTAGTCCTTTTTTAATTGAAAAAGTATGGTCTTTTTTGTTTTTCCCTTAAAATCTGGGGTTATTTATGTCTTTAACTCATTTAAGTTTTTCTTTTTTTAGATTTAATTTTTGGAGGGTAGGGTGTGAAGTAAGGATAGCATTTTAAGGGTATATTTGTTATATTCCCTGTACAATATCCATTATACCCTTATGTTATAAAACAAATAAAATTTAAATAAAAATAATAATTTCCCTCCTAAAAAGCAGCATTGGTTTCTCTCTCCTCATTATCAGTTTTTTTCTCTCTCCTCTGACATTTTTCATTCTCTCTCCTCTAGCATTTGTGATTTCTCTCTCCTCCATTTGCTCTCTCTCTCGTATCTTGCTCTCTCTCTCCTCCGATTTTCACTCTCTCTCCACCGCCGCCGATTTGCTCTCTCTCTCCATTGATTTGCTCTGTATCACTTCTGATTCTCTCTCCTCCAGCATTTGCGCTTTCTCTCTCCTCCGTTTGCTCTCTCCCTTCGTTTGCTCTCTCGTATCTTGCTCTCTCTCTCCTCCGATTTTCACTCTCTCTCTGCCGCCGCCGATTTGCGCTCTCTCTCTCCATCGATTTGCTCTGTATCTCTTTTGATTTGCTTGCTCTCCCTTCAGATTTGGTCTTTGTGTCCTCACATTTGCTTCATTTATCCGATTTGTTTGCTCTCTCTTCGATAATTTGTGAAACTGCTTCAAATCTCGTGGAAATCAGCGGAAATTCAAATAGAATCGTGCAAACAAGTTTTGAATTGTGTGATTCATGTGACTCTCATGTGACCCATGTGACTCGAAGACATTTTTACACTGTGTGACCCATGTGACTCATGTGACCCGTGACTTAGTGACACTTATAAAACACGGTCAAATCTCGATTTTAAAGGATGGAAATGGTTTATATGATGTTTTACAATGACAATATGGTATCTACAAGTTAAATTTGTTAACATAAGTAGGAGTTGTATGAACATTAGTACAATTTGTTCTAAAGTTGTCATGAAACACTAGTATCACTTATGGAGTACATTTGCATGAGTGACTTGAATATGAAAATTGAAACGAACATGATTTTAAAGTTGTTATTGATGTTAAAATCCATGATTAATCACTGCATAATCATGCCAAGTCACTAATTCGATAAATTCGACCCATGTGACCCAAGTGACCCATGTGACCCGTGATCCATGTTACCCGTGTGACCCGTATGACCCATGTGACCCATTGGACCTATGTTTTTTTTCATTTCCAAGTAAAAGTAAAATCCAAAATATGGAAGAGTTTACAAAAACTGAGTTTACAAACTACGAATAAGTTCACAATAAATAATAAGTTTACAAAATACGAAAGAGTTCACAATAACGGATCAACGCTTAACAAGGACTCCCACAAGCGCCATCTTTAACTGTGGTTCTCATTGCGCGTAGAATAGATGTTGGAATTGTGATTCTTTCTCGAAGTACATCCATTCATCATGTGTTAATACTCCTTTAAGCATTTTCAGCGTCTTATAGGGATAACACTTCGTATTGATCTTCGAAGAAAACTGAATATCTTTGAATTTGTAGACAAATGGAAGCTGCAAAATAAAATAATTGTTCGTCATTATGGTGACCTGGGACCTGTGACTCGTGATCCATGTGATCCGTGACCCATGTGACCCATGACCCGTGACTCGTGTGACCCGTGTGCTCCTTGTGAGTTATATTATCCTGTTACCATATAAATCCCTGTGACTCATGTAACCTGTGACCCACATGACCTTGCGACTTAGGAAATCATTAAACTTGCCAAGGTATTTCGAAATCTCACACTCACACCCTAACTTTCTATTCTGAATTCTTAAAACTCAAATTATATATTTTAAAACAAAAAACCCTAACTTTATATTTAGAAATCTCAAAACTCTAATTTTCAATTTCGAAATCCCTAAACCCTAAATTCCTATTTTAAAATCCCAAACTATCCAACAAGTTTAATGATTTTACTCCACGATCAGGTCACAGAAGAAAAAAAACGGAGAAGAATATGCAGAAAAACCTATTGTTTCTAATGGGAGATCGTTGTCCGACGATGACGAAGATGAACCGTCCTGAGATGCAGACGAAGACGAAGCAGAAGGCACATGTGTTCTTGGATCTATGGGTGTTTAATTTTTCATACAAATCGCAAGAGAGATACCAAAACTGCAAGGAAAATCGCCTCAGTTTCTGAAAATCCCGAGAGAGAAATGGTGGTTCTTGAAATCGCGCAAGAGAGAGAGAGAGTTTTTGAAATGATACAAGAGAGAGAGAGTTCAACAGAAGAGAGAGTGGGAGAGTGAGAGTTTATCGAGAGAGGGGAATTTTTTTATTTCTTAAAAACTTAGTCCTTTTTTAATTGAAAAGGCATGGTCATTTTCATCTTTCCTTTAAAATCCAGGGTTATGTATGTATTTAACTCATTTAAGTTTTTCTTTTTTTTAGATTTATTTTTTGGAGGGTAGGGTGTGAAGTAAGGATAGCATTTTAAGGGTATATTTGCTATATCCCCGATTAAATTTATATAATTGTTTGAGCATGATTTCTTTGTAATCGAAACCCGAAATCACCACCCCTAATTGGATCCTTTGACCTGAGATGTATACGGTATCCGACATGAGAAATGTTGTACTTTGATTGCGTCAAACGTCTTGCGTAATAGGAAGATTATAACGACGGTGGCTTATCGGCTGAGATTACCGGGTAGCCTGAAAGTTCATCTGACGTTCTATGTGAGTTTCTTGAAAAGTATCTTGAGAATGAGGAGGACACCGAACAGAGACAAACAAAGAAAGCTCCACCAATGATCCGAAAGCAATATGAGAAGCAGATCCGAGAGATACTCAATCACGAGACTTTAGAATGAGTAAGAAGAACTAACGGACGAAGTACTTGGTACATTGGAAAGGGGAAGAGTGGACTGAGACAAAATGGGTGGATGCCAAAGACTTATTATTAGGGGTGGCACAGGTTGGATACCCGGAAAAATCAGAATATTTGGATTTGGATCCAGAAAGTTCGGGTATTTAATTATAATATTTGTATTCTGGATTTCATATTTACGAGTATCCAGGATACGGGTATCCGGAATAATGGTTGTGTACTCGCGGATATTCGGATCCAGGTTCCGGAATAATGATGCGGGTATTGAAAAATCCAGATTTGGATTTGGATTTAAAAATTATGAGTACCCTAAAATCGGGTATTCGCGAGACGAGTATCCGACGAATACCCGATTTTTAGGTATTTGTGTCCACCCCTACTTATTACAGTTCGAGAAGGAGATTGTAGACTACGTCGAAAGGCACTTCGAATTGTCGGGGACGTCAACTTTTCCAAGTGGGAGAGGTCTGTCACACCCATAAATGATGAGGTTCGATGAACGAGCATGACCGACTGCATGTGTGGAGGAAAAGAGTGTTGGGACAACGTTTGTATGAAGCTAGGCATGCGAACGGAGAAGTCAAGTTCGTGCGGAAGGTGGAACGTGCGGACGGACAAGTCAGGTTGGCTTGGAGACGGACGAACGGATTAAGTGAGCTGACGGATGAACATGGGGGTAGCCGAGTGCATGCGGCACCCCGGACGGACGTGTACGAGTGAACACAGATGAATTGCTCGAACGGGAGAAATAATTGGCGAGAAGTCTCGGACAGTGATCGTGGCGCGCATACAGGTGGCACTAGGATCGTGGATGGTTAACGAGTAGTTTCGGACGGTTGACAATTTCTTTGGGCTTTTCGTATGAGCAGTTAAAACTCTTTTGGGCGGTTATTTTTATAAACCGTCACGCTGTACTGTGTATTTAATCTGTAGCCGAGCCAACAGCCGAATAAAGAGCGTGGTCGTGATTGTGTGTTGAGCAGGTGTGAGTTCCTTGTGTTGCGAGAATAAAACATAAGGTTGGACTTGGTTCGTAAATCTATGTTCATTCGTTTAAGTATTTCTTACATAAGGACGAACGAGTTCTGCAAATTGAGTGTTGGGTTCGGATATATAGGTTTCGAGCTTGAGTTTGGTGGTATAGGCTCGCATTTTTTCGAGCCAATCAGAGTCCGAAACCCTCGGACCGAGTGCAGACTTAGGTCAAACGGACCCGATTGGTACCCTATTCATATGACAGTCTTATCTATGATAAGTCTAAAAGCTTTTTTTTCTCAATGGGTGCGTATAATTTCGAATATCCGACTTAATCCATAAATCAGTATTCGAAAAACGGATATTTGTCCACTAACGAAACGAATACGAATTCAACAGTGACGAGAATCCAACATTTGTTAAAGATATCGCGAGGCCAAAGGACGGGGTGAAAAAACAAAGATCCGAGTGTGATCGAGGGAGACAAATATTCGTAAGCGTAGCATCGCTCATCCAAACATTTGGAGCATCCATGAATATCCAAAGCCCGACACTTATATGGCACCAATACGACGATCGATTCCGAAAATGACGATAAACTCGAATGGATTCCGGATCAGAAGAGACTTTAACAAGGCCAATTCATTAGATTAGGTCACGAAATGAAATTTGATTTTTGGGTGTATCAAGACCTCAAAACCATCTTATGAAAGTTTATACTACTTTAACCTAAACAGCCACCCCAAAAATGAATTTAAGTTCAGTAGCAAAAAAAAAACCCGAATGGCAGATCAAACAAATCAATCAAATCCCTAATAAAAAAAATAATTAGCAGTATGGATGTGGTTCCATCAAAATTCGATCTCCGGTCCCACCCCGTGGGAGGACATCGAGATGCTAATGCCGAGGCGAAAGGCATTCTGCCTTGCGCCTCCTAAGAAGATGTGAGATTCGATGAGTTCACTCGTTTAGCTTTATCTCGGCTCAGCTTACTTGTTGCTGATTCCCGACATATACGGGATAAGCCCCGTAAGCTGCAGGGCTGTACATTATCGGGTCAAGAGGAGGCGGTATCATATACCCGTAACCGTTGTAATATTGTCCTCCATAGTACGGTCCGACCCATTGGTTTCCAAAGCCACCCCTAAGCTGCAATGATTAACAAGACTTGCAAATCAGAGACTAGAAAACGAAGTGGCTGAGCCTTAAACAACGTTGAATGTTGCATCAACAAAAAATCGTGCAATTTAATCAAACATAATCTTGTCCAGTTGTATCTCGGGCTAGTCCTACAGATGGGGTACTAACATGAGAACGGTCCTGTGTTCGGTTCATTTTGAGTTAACAAAATTATGAACCTCATGATTGAATTTGAAAGGATTAGAAGGGCATAGGTTTATCCTCCCGTACCTGTTTATTGGCTGGATTACGACCCCAAGAAAGGCGAACTGTTTGTTTTCCAATTACAGTCCCGTTTAATTTCTCCAAAGCCTCCTCAGCGCTTGTTCTGGACAGATACATTGAAGATTAAATCCATGAGAACTATGGAACAAGTGAGTAAAAGGGTGACTTAACCCATGGCCTTGATGAATATAACACGAATATCACCTGTTGACAAATTGAACAAATCCGCATCCTTTGCCAGCAGGACGGAGACTATGTCTCCATACTCGATGAAAGGTTGTCTCAGATCTTCGTCAGTGACACTAGGGTCAAGTCCTCCAACAAATATCTAAAGCGGAAACACGGATCAGCAAAGGATTAACCTTCTATGATGCTCATAATATTGAAAAACATAACACAAATTTTCATAAAAGATCAAGGGAGAGGAATTACTGTTGTGTTTAATGAATCCCCATCAGGATAACTCTGGACTCCATTCAACATGTATCCACCTTCCCACCAACAATAAAAAACAAAGATTGTGAAGATGCTTAAGGAGACTAACGGTTACTACTGAATTTTGATAAGCATTTGTTGATTTTAAATGAATCCCTACTGCTGAAAATATTTATGCTGCCATTCACTGATGAAAGATCCATGAATTTGAAACAGTGTAAACTTGATTGAACTACCTCATCGCATCGTGTATTGGACATAGTAAGTAATCACAAACTTAAAATTACATTAACACAGAGAAATGATAATAAGTGAATATATCAAATCAAACTCAATACCTTGTTGTTGATAATTGATTGACTTCCTAGGCGTAGCCGGACCAATTCGCATAGCTCTGCTAGAACATTTCACACCATTCATCTCTGACATGGCTTTGGCCCTCTCATTGTCATCTCCAAACCTCACAAACCCATACCCCTTTGACCGGCCAGTATTAGCATCAATGACGACCTTTGCAGCCTTAACAGATGGGTATTTTACAGAGAATGTTTCATGCAGCAATTTATCAGTGACGTCAGGTGATAAGTCCCCCACAAAGATAGAAAGATCAGGACCATTCTCTAACCGCTTTTCACCAGTGCTAAAACTAGCCCAGTTCAAACGGAACGTCTGGTCACCAGCATTTGGCATAGATGTCCCACTATAGTCCTCTAAAACCTTTTCAGCTATTTCATGGGAAACGAATTCCACAAATCCATAGCCCTCAGACAAACCACTGTGTTTGTTGCGGATAACCTTAACTGATGCAATCTGCACAACATGCGTGCGTGTGCCCATAATCAGACTTAGACCAGATGCAGAACAAACAAACAGTGTTCAAACATAAGTAAGATTAAACTGAGATTGAGGATAAAACTTATCAAGAGTTACAAAGATTCGCAAATAAAAGGAGACTTAAATCTCTACAACGCTACAGGTCACTAAGTCACAGCATTCGTCATGTGCATTTGCCAAAAGCCCACCTCCTGAAAGTTCACGCTATCTAGATCCATCATCCAACAACAAGAATCAAATAAGTCAATATTTCTCTTTCAATTCACTGAGGCAATCTAGGTTTCCAGAGGAATTTTATCTGAAAAAAGTGACAATTTTCTTAATAGTCTCAGGTTCCATCGCCTGAATAACCCAAACAAAAACATGACTTTCCATAGGGAATCTCATCGTATACAGCTAAGAAAACAGAACAACGAAAAAGACAAAGTTCCCGCTTTGTGAACTAGATTGCAGAGACCAGCAACGTAAATAGCATACCTCAAAACATATATAGTCGCCAACAAAAAAGACATACATGCATTCATAGGTACACATAAAGATACATGTATGCACACACAAAAATAAGGAGACAGAAATATGAGAGAGAGAACCAAACCTCGCCAGAGGAAGCGAAGCAAGAGTTAAGATAATTCTCATCCATCCAGTGATGCAAATCACCGACCCAGATCGACTTATTCTCGCCATTGGAGATGTTCTGATGCTTGTTCCCGCGAAACTGGTAATGGTGAGGCTGATACTGATGGTGAAAAGGCGAGTACGGCGCCGGTGCAAACATCATCTGATGCGGAATCACCGTCGCCGGCGGATACGGCATCGCCACCCACTGCTGCTGCTGCTGCGGTGCCGGCGACGCCCTCCCTTGATTCACCCCCCCCGCCC